CTCTAATGATATTAATAACATTTCATTTTTACAATAAAATTTTTACCGACTTCTTTTCTGTTTCTAGATTCTAATTTAATTTAGGAATAATTCTTACTCTAATGAAATGATATGAAATGAATGAAGTCCGTCATCATCGTGATTCGTGGATGCTGGGAAATGAATGAAGAAATCTTTGTTTCAGAAAAATGAGGATCGCTAACGAATAAATCTTCGATTTTTCTGATGAACCAAAAAAATGGCAATATCCATTTAACGATTAAATACGGTTATATAAACCTTATAAATTAACCTAAAACTTCACGGAATGTTGAAAACGAAATAAATTTTAACAAACGAGCTTAATGCAGATCGGCAAAGAGTCATAAACATAACTTCGGCTTCGGGAAGGCCAAGATTTTTCTAATTATATCTCAGATTTTTCTAAAAATAAACCAAAATGCTCATGAATAATTAATTTTTTAGGAACTTGCTTCCAGAGGTAACTTGCCCGTTGAAAAAAATTTTCAATGTTAAAACGCTGGTAGGGCGCTTCCAGTTATATAATTCCATGGTCTAACCACAAAACCGTAAATCAATCTATTACATTTCGGGCCTTAAACGGAGTGAAAACAAATGGAGTGGAGAATTTGTGGCAATGCGCTAAACAAAAATTTTAAAAAATGCTCACGTATCATATTCAATGTGTACGATGCGTGGTTTGCACGCGTATTTAAATAACGCTGTGTGTGTTTGTTGTTGAAACCTCTGAAGCAAACGCAAAAGAGAGAGAGAAACCTTTAACCATACTTTGATGAATTTATGTGACTGCGCACCATCGGTGATAGAAAAAAGCGGTTCCAACAAGCCCTGGAACTTATACGACATTATTACGCGGTTTAAAATTTTGAAACTTTTTTAATTTTTTTATTACCTATTGATTATTATTAGATACTTCTGTTTCCTTTTTTCCATGAAAATATAATGTGCAAATGAAATTAATTAATTAATGCAAATGAATTCGTCGTGCGATTCTCACGCTTTACACCGTTCAAACGTATTCGCCCGTTCGTGATTTGCACGTTCGTGATTCGCACGTTCGTGATTCGCACGCCTTATAGCATTTCAACGTCGAATTCGACGTGCGGGTGCCTCACGATTTATAATTTCAAGCGTCGTATTCACCCGCGATTCGCACGCCTTATAGCATCTCAACGTCTTATTCACCGTGTGGCCTCATGCTTTATAGCATTAACACGTTCAATTCGCCGTGCAGATTTTTCACGCCTTATAGCAACTCAACGGCGTGTTCGCCGTGCGAATCCGCACGCCTTATAGCACTGACCATTCCTAATATCACCCCACAGTTATAATAATAATAATAATAACATAACAAGTATTAAATTTACCAATGAACACTGAATAAAAAGAATGAATAATAATTTAACAGAAAAATCAACATTACAGCACCAATGAATTGAATTACAATGATACATAATATGTGCTGCATATATTGAAAAATTACTAGACCTGCAGTAAAAAACAGCAATTTTTTGCTTATTTTATGATAATTACCGCTGCATACTAGGTCCATGCAACATGCCAAGGTTTTTCTGGCAAAACATCCTAGGTGCATAGTCATATTAATAGTTTAAAAAGGGAAAAATTGAATTTTTCACAGCATTTACAAATTTAGAGATATACAATGTTATAATTATTAGTATAAAATAGCATGTTCTCCAAAAATTACAAGGAATGCAACATTGTTCTTAACAAATGTAAAGTGGTTTGTTAATTCAATTGTTTCTTAAGATTTTTGTTCAAGACCAAAATTTTGAGTTTGACTATCAATGAATATATAAAAGATATATCATTCAGAAAACTATTTATACTAAGTTTCTAAAATCATTATTTTATGAACAATATATTTATTTTTTGCAAATATCTATGTAGTTTGCATCTAAAGATATGATTGATTAAATAACCATTGTGTCTTTAGCAATTTTTCAATAGTTCAGCAGCCTATTTTTTACTGTGAATGGAGATTTATCCTTTACAAAGACAAAAAATAAAATATTTATAGTTTAATTTTTTTTAATTCTCCCCAGAATTGCAATATGGCAACTATATAGTCAAAGAGTCTACATATACAACACATAGACTTTAAAAATCATTTCAGCACTCTCATAGAGCACAGCAGATGAAATGGTAATATAATAAATTATAAAATTTTAATATTTTCTAAACTTTAAACTACTAAAGTTCATTTTTTAAATCAGAAACATTTGTTTGTACACAAAAATTAAAATTTATTTATTTATTTATTTGATTATTGCTCTCTTCAATATTTTTTAGAAGCATCAACAACAAACACACTATGCATGTAAATATTGAAAAAGTAAATACACATGAAACAACGCATCACACACATAGCATGACAGGTGGGGATCTCTTTGCAATCGAATCAACACTTTAAAACCACTGCTACCATAAAACGGTTAAACTAGTCAAACGTTAAATTAAAGCTGCCAAATAGTTCAGTTAACAAGATGAACTGAAATTTGAAAAAAAATTTACAACCTTACAAATGGTAAAAAAACTAGAAGGCTGAATTGCTAACTAAAAAGCAAAAGCAATGAATTACTAATTTTTATAAAATAAATAATATTTTATTTATTTAATTTATATAATTTATATAATTCCATGCTCAATATCATACTATTTTAATAGTAATTCTG